CTTTTTTTTTCTACAGGAGAAAATCTCCGGATCCCCACCCGCGCGGCAGGTGGGGTATGTGGGAGTTGAACCTCACTAAAAACTCCTGCCGCTCACAACCGGCGCCCTACCTCGGACCGGGCCGGAGCCCAGTCGGGGCTATTGAAACGGCGGGACAGGGTTGACGCAGAGCACATTACATCCATCCCACCGTCCCACGGACGCCGGACCGGCGGCCGCCAGCGACACGACCACCGGTTCCCTCGTTATGGGGACAGGTCTAGGTCTATTTAGTCGTACTAAGATGTGCTCCGTGAGGCGGTGCACTTGTTGGACGCACCAATGCTTGGCGCGGAATCCAAACTATTCGTTTTTGAGGTGAAAGTTCCAGAGGCGTTTACCAGTTTACCCATCGTGTTTATTTGATTTCGAAGTCTGTTGCCGTGAAATGATAAAGTTTTTTAAAATTGCTGGTTGAAGGAGCTCACGGTCCTCCCGGTGCTTGCTAACTGGTCACCGGAGCCCATGGACATCAACCACGTTAATGTCGCCGCCCATCTTGAGATATGAATTCTAACTCTCCGTTTTTACAGTAGGTACATAACTTTTTAAAGGATAATATATTTATTGCCATCGGTAAGGAAATGTAAAATTATTTTTACGAATAGGGTTAATATTTGAAAGTAATGAATATGTGCGCATAGATAAGCAATATCATGAATATATATATATATACCACGGAATTAAATGAATAACTAATTTTATCCAATGGAAAATTTTACATGTCTCTTGTAGAGTTGAGATCATTCTAATCGAATTTCGATTACTGCAATTTTGACCGAAAGAAAAAAGTCACGAATTTATATGTTTTATTTTAATATTATTCACGATATTTTTCACGATGCGGCTTAGGTGTCGGTCACTGTAGCATTCAGATTATTAATGCTTCGAGCTAGGGCTCTGTGCTTAGTGCGTGTTTTTTAACGTTCACGATAGCGTAAAAGTTAAGCCAATTTTGTATGCAGTTGGAACAGCGCCCCTAGCGGCAAACGTAGGCAAACGATCCCATTCCATACAAATATGAGCTAACTTTTACGCTATCGAGAACGTTCTAAAACTCGCACTAAGCATACAGGATAAATAAAACTCTCATCGAAATACATAAATTATAATAAAACATTCGCATAGTACTACTTATATCTGAAGACTGGTTACCAATTGACCAAAGTAGTTTTTTTTTACAAAAAGGATTAGAATGGAAGAAAACGTGTAAAAGATAACGTGGTTGTCAAAGTTGAAGTTGTCAAGGATGAAATCGTCGTGACCTAAAGGATAAGACGTCCGGTGCATTCGTATCCAGTGGTACAACGGTGTTCGAATCCCGCAGGCGGGTACCAATTTTTCTAATGAAATACGTAATCAACAAAGTTTACAATTAACTTCCACGGTGAAGGAATAACATCGTGTAACAAAAACCAAACCCGCAAAATTATAATTTGCGTAATTACTGGTGATAGGTAAGTGAGTCCGCAGGTATCACTAATTCTGCCGTGAAGCAGTAATGCGTTTCGGTTTGAAGGGTGGGGCAGCCGTTGTACTATTAAAACTGAGACCTTACAACTCATGTCTCAAAGTGGGTAGCAGCATTTATGTTGTAGTTGTCTATGGGCTCCAGTTACTACATACCTAACAGCAGGTGGGCCGTGGGCTCGTCCACCTACCTCCACTTCGATAAAGCGGCACGACACGAGAATCCTGTCATCGTGGCCGCCCGTAACTACATTTCCGATCCTGCGAAAAGAATGGAAAGCAGTCGACGTCGCCCCAAACACGTCATTTCGGATCCTCCCGATCCACAAACGGTGCTTTTAGGTACCTCAATCACCGGTCATCGTTCTCGTCGAACCGCTTGCGACGAAGGGCTTGACGAGTAAGCTAACCCGCAGACACAGCCCAATGAGTTTCTCGCCGGATCTTATCAGCGGGTCGCGTTTCCGATCCGGTGGTAGATTCTGCGAAGCACGGTTCTTGCTAGGGTTCGTGTTAGCAACGTCATCAGGTTTGAGCCCCGTGAGCTCACCTACTAGTTAAGGTTCCGCTGATATAGCCTCTCAAGGCTATCAGATTAGGTAGGAAAAAAAAAATACCGCTTACCTAAGCAATAAAAAAAACGAAACGGAAAGGTAACAAATTTGGGTTTTAAGCGAAATCGAAAACTGTCTTCCCTCTCTAGTTCCAAGCTCTCTGAATATATTATCAAGCGCAAATACAGCAAATATCGAATGAACAGAAAATAATCGTCTTTTTCACTATCGTTTCGCAGGAGCACCTCATCTAGTTTTTGAATTTTGCAAACTTTTACATTAATGACATATTATTCAACGTTTCTTCTATCACTAAACGCTTTTCCCTTGACGTTCCGGTGGACTTGGTCACCACGGTACTACTAAGATCATTAACACCATGCCAAGGTTAAGGTGCCGCGTGGATTCCAGATGTCTTCAACTACTATTGTTACTTTTAGCATTTCTGTTCAACTGGTGCTCGGTTTGTTCGTCCGAAGTAGGTGAGTGTTATACGTGTGGCCTCGCTAAGCTGATATTGAACTATTACCTTAGTTCATGGGCAAACACAACGCGAATACAGCTCTATGCCTTTAGACATATGATTGAAGTTGTGTCTGTCAATTGTGTTGCAGATAGCAAATCATCATCACCATCATCATTATCCTGCCCTTCTCCCAGTCAACTGGGGTTAGCGCAACATGTTTTCTCCTTCCTTACTCTTCTATCATATACCATTTCTTCGCTCACTCCCCTCTTACCCATATCATCTTTCACGCAATCCATTCATTTCTTCTTAGGTCTACCTCTTCCTCTATATCCTTCCACATTCATAGTTAACATTCTCTTACCAACCTGATTTTCATTTCGTCTCACCACATGTCCATACCATCCCAAACGCGCACTTCTCAGCTTCTCTGTCAGAGATGCCACTTTCAGACTTCCTCTAACATATTCATTCCGTATTCTATCCATTCTCGTTACTCCACACATCCATCGCATCACATTCGCATCTCTGCTGCATGCAATCGCCTTAGCAATTATGACTACGATATCCAGACCTTCGACAGTAAAATTTTGCTCTTACAATCAGTAATTCGCATATTTTAACTATAGACTTAAAATGACGAAATCTTCTGAAAATACCCGTATAATCGGCCTTTTTAATACGATTACTTTATAACAAACTAGCTGTACCCGTCCGCTCCGCTGGGAATTTAAAATTAACATTATTATTTCTCACCCCCACAACTATTCTCATCATTAACGCCCCCGCAACTGGTGTAGGGAGTTCAACACTCATATAAATTATATTAGCCTATCCATTAAGTACATGTATATTCTTTCTACATGGATACCAAGTTTCAAGTCAATCGGATGCATGGTTCAGTAGCTATAACGGAACAGTTATAACGGTATAGTTATAATTAAAGTCGTCGTGGCCTAAGAGATAAGACGTCCGGTGCATTCGTGTTGAGCGATGCACCTGTGTTCGAATCCCAGGCGGGTACCAATTTTTCTAATGAATTACGTACCTACTCAACAAATGTTTACGATTGACTTCCACGGTGAAGGAATAACATCGTGTAATAAAAGTGAATCCCGCAAAATTATAATTTGCGTAATTACTGGTGGTAGGACCTCTTGTGAGTCCGCGCGGGTAGGTACCACCGCCCTGCCTATTTCTGCCGTGAAGCAGTAATGCGTTTCGGTTTGAAGGGTGGGACAGCCGTTGTAACTATACTTGAGACCTTAGAACTTATATCTCAAGGTGGGTGGCGCATTTACGTTGTAGATGTCCATGGGCTCCAGTAACCACTTAACACCAGGTGGGCTGTGAGCTCGTCCACACATCTAAGCAATAAAAAAAATAAAAAAACATCCGTAAAAACCACTGTAGATTTATATATTAGTATAGATGTAATTGCAATCAGGAAATATTCGCATTAATTTTTGCTATAACATCTTTTAACAGAATCCCAAATACCAACAATCGATACGGACAAAAAGCGTCTAGCAATCATCGTTCCGTTCCGGGACCGCTTCGAGGAGCTCCTAGAGTTCGTTCCTCACATGACCGCCTTCCTGAAGAGACAAGAGATTCCGTTTCACATCTTTGTGATTCAACAGAAGGATAAGAACCGTTTCAATAGGGCTTCACTGATAAACGTCGGATTCTTGAAGACTCGAAGCCATTACGAATACATAGCGATGCACGATGTCGACCTTCTGCCACTTAACGACAATCTGAAGTATGAATATCCAGAAAAGGGGCCATGCCACATTCCGTCACCAGAAACGCATCCGAAATACAGCTACAAGTACTACGCCGGCGGCATAGTGTTGGTAACTAGGGAACATTACGAGCTGGTGAACGGAATGTCCAATCAGTACTGGGGCTGGGGGATGGAGGACGACGAATTCTACGTGAGATTGAAGGATGCGGGTCTCACATTCAACAGACCCAGCAATATAACAACGGGACGAAAAAACACATTTAGGTGAGCAGATGCAACAGTCAATATAATTAAATGACGCCATAGACACGTCCGTATGGATCCATTAGATCAAATAACTCTTTTTTTTATCCTACCTATGCTGATAGCCTTGAGAGATTATTTCACCTTTAGCCTAGCGTGTAGGTGAGCTCTCGGAGTTCAAACCGGAGGTGTTGCTAACACTGGCCCTAGCAAGAGCACTGCTTCGCAGAATCAGCTACCAGATCGGAATCGCGACCCACTGAGAAGATCCGGCGAGAAACTCCTGCATAGACGCCTTCAGCTCTAACACAAAGAGCAGGCTTAGGGACCCCGGTAACCGTACTCGTCGAACTCGACAAAGAGTTCGATGCGCAATGTAACCCATGCATCAGCTCGTTGAGTTTCTCGCCGGATCTCCTCAGGGTCGCGATTCCAATCCGGTAGTAGATTCATTCACGAAGCAGCTACTCTTGAGCTATTAGGTTAAAGCTGAAGGCATCTAATGCAAAGGTTATTGCATCTGATGGATCCGTAACGACGTGAAAGTCGTTATGAAGTTTCTTGAGACATGACGGATTTTACCAAGTGTTGTCTAGGGACTCCGGGAATCACTTAAAGCGAAGCGAAAAACAATAATACGTAGATATCTGAAGTAAGATTAGCATACTATTGAAATTAAAACCATTAGATGTCTGCTAATGAAATTTGCATTTGTCTTTTTGTTAAAATAAATACAAAACGGTTAATAGCAAATTCTATTAATACATTTAGCTAAATAATTTATGCAGTGGAACAATGAAAACGTCAGATCGATTCGGTACCTCGCTGTGATGACGCGATCTCTGTGTGCCGCAGTAAGAGGAGACGGGGTGCCGAGAGATTTGAACAATTAAAGAGCACGGTAGTGGTATACAGGAGGAAACGGGAATACATCTGTATTGGACTAGATAGGTCGTCCAACCTGGTGGTGGCAGGACACTGGAGGCCATTGACCTTGCACCGTCATATGACCCACTATGAGACATGAGCTCGAAGTCTCAGTCGTATTGTATAACCCAGCCTTTCAAAGCATAATACAGGCAGGCTACCAGTGATTCAAAATTTCATTTTCTTCCTTCGTACTAGCAGCTTTTATTTCCTACCTATGCTGATAGCCTTGAGAGACTTTCAGTTTCACCCTAACATGTAAGTCACTCACGGGGCTCAAACCTGATGACGTTGCTAACACGAACCCTAGCAAGAGCCGTGCTTTGCAGCATCTACCGCCGGATCGGAAACGCGACCCACTGAGAAGATCCGGCGAGAAACTCTGTGGGCTGTGTCTATGGGTTAATTTACTCGTCGAGCTCTTCGTCGCAAGCGACGAGTTCGACGAAAACGATGACCGGTGCTTGAGGTACCTACAAGCACCGTTAGTGGATCGGGAGGATCCGAAATGAAGTGTTTTGGGCGACTGCTTTCCATTCTGTCCGGAATCTTCTGATCGGGAATGGATAATCTTAATACTTTAACCCCTATTGTAACAATAGTAATAAATAAACTCAACTTTTCAATTAATGTGACATAAAAATTCTAATTCTAAACAATATTACAATGTGCTATACTAACACAGTGGATAGAAAGGCCGCGGCTCAGCTTTGTGATAGCTGAAACTATCGCTGTTATTCTGCCGCTGCCTGTAATCTTAATCTATAAACTTAAATGTAATATTACCTAAATTTAAAAATATGTCGCATAATCTACAGAATCACTGCCTCCGCACTTTGCTGTTGAAGTAGAAATTCCTTATATATCCTTATAGATTCGTAACGTTTTGTAAACACAAAGGCATATCCACGACGACGCGTATCGTGTCCGAGACAAGCGGCGGTGCTACAACCAGCTCGAGATGACGCGGCGCCGTGACCGTCGCACCGGGCTCCATGACGTGGCGCACCGCGTGCTGAGCCTCCACACCCTCACCATCGACGGGCTGCCCCTGACCGTCCTCAGCGTGGAGCTCATCTGCGACCGGAACGCGACCCCGTGGTGCCAGTGCCCGGAAACGCGAGAACCCGAAATGTCTTTTACATCTAACTACGAGAATCACGTGTTTCATGAATACAATGTGTGCTATAAAAATAAATGAGTGATTTATGCCTTTTTTAGAACGTTTTTATTGGTGTGGATATAACTACGAACGGAAAAATGTTTCAGTGAGCGGGTTTTTCTTCCTGCCTAAGCTAATAGCCTTAAGAAGCCATTTCAGCGTTTTTTTATTGCTTAGATGGGTGAACGAGCTCACAGCCCACCTGGTTACTGGAACCTATAGACATCTACGACGTAAATGCGCCACCCACCTTGAGATATAAGTTCTAAGGTTTCACGTATAGTTACAACGGCTGCCCCACCCTTCAAACCGAAACGCATTACTGCTTCACGGCAGAAACAGGCAGGATGGTGGTACCTACCCGCGCGAACTCACAAGAGGTCCTACCACCAGTAATAACCATAACAACCCTTAGTTTCCGCTCCGGTGCTAGATCCTGCGAAGCACAGCCCTTGCTAGGGCCAGTATTAGCAACACCTCCGGTATGAGCCCCGCGAGCTCACCTACACGCTAGGGTAACGCTGATATAGCTTCTTAAGGCTATCAGCATAGGTAAAAAGTCCTCTCGTTTGCTGTTTCGATTTAATTACACTCTGTATATTTGCAACGGTGACTGCCGTTGTATGACTGACTGCGGGGACTGCCCTGTATATATACTCCTCAATCTCGTTGAAGACGGAAGCGAACGATGTAGTTAACTATTATTTAAAAAAAAAAAAAAAAATAACATGTGTGCAATTCACACGTGGTAGAAGTGAAACCTTCCAAAATTAAAATACAATTATCCTAAACGTCTTAAGTATATGTAAAATTTTGTCATTAGTAAATAATTGTAAGGTAGCGCCCTCTGTGAATTGATATTTTAATTTCATGTATAATCCTAAATTAAAATTCACTACAAGAGCTTTCATACACACGTTAGTATNCACAAACAAGTTCGAAAAGGAATGGTAGCGAGCGAGGTGCGGACGTATTCTCGTGTGTATGCTTCGGTGGTTGCGGGTGAACTGTCGGCGCCAGTAAAGGCGCACGCGCGGCTTGCCAAAAGGAAAGCCACTCGGTCGCTACTCTTTGAATCGCGCCGGGAACCGACAACGAGAGTCCCTGATTGGTCGCGGCGCGCGATCAGACGCGGTTGCCGACGCGGCAGGCGTTAGGGTTGCTATAATACGGAATTTGGGTACTACCTGAGAATTCTTTATTTTTTTATTTTGTGTCCCCAATAGCTCTACTATGAGGTGTTTCAGGATTATCCATTCTTTTTGGGACACCCTGTATATTCATTTCCTAGGAAAATTTTGCTTCTGTCTGCGTGGATTTGAACTCCGGCACTTTCGCATCGCCCGATGTGAGTACGGAGTGAGACTCATTACTGAGGGTCGAGACTCCCCCGCTGCATCAGTTTCTCCCGTACGATTTCCCTCCATCTGCTGCGATCCTTTGCTTCATGAAGGGCATTGTGGAAATTGATGCTTAGAGAAGATCGTATTTGGTCCGAACATCTCGTGGGACTGCGTCCTCTGGGACGTTTGCCATCTACCTTTCCTGTCACCATCAGCTGTTCAAGATTGTGACCCTCTTTACGAGCAATATGTACGTCGAATTCCAGCACCCTACGAAGGCATATAGTGGAAAGTCTGGCTTTGATGTGAGTACACCTCTTATCTTTTAGGCCGTGTCGACTTCAACATTTTGTATTCACTAGTACAACTTAGAGCACCGTGCGTATTGATCCAACATATTCACACAATCGATACAATCGCGCATAAAATAAAAATAGGATTTTTAAATAAAATCAACGTAAACATAAAATTAAATATTTATTATAACAACCAAAGTTTCAAGTAAGTACATGGAATAGTTCAACGAATAATTCATATAGACATTACAACCGATACAACTTGAACATAACATAAATACCACAAAAGTATATATATTTTTTAATCCAATATTAAGTTTAACATTACTAACCTAAATACATTCAAAAACATGCACAAACAAAAAAAAAGTGATATTTCACCTGAAAAATCCTGAAAGACGCGAGATAATTATATATATATGTCGTGGATTACGACTTTTAGTAATATTAAGACGGTGGTTTTGATTATTATTTTAAATGATGAAATGTTATTTTGATAAATATCACAAAATGAAGGGTAGACTCCGTAACGCCACAGTATAAAATGGCGGTACGTGGACAGAGTCGTGGCATTTCCGTGTCAGACAGTAATTCCGTCCGTCTCAGTCAGTGAGTCTCTGTCAGTCAGTCAGTCGGTCAGTCGGTCTGTCGGTATATGCAACGAAACTGTCGGTTTACCCTGTCATTGTGAAAGTTGTGTGTGTTGAGTTTCAATAATTATNTATTATTTTAAATGATGAAATGTTATTTTGATAAATATCACAAAATGAAGGGTAGACTCCGTAACGCCACAGTATAAAATGGCGGTACGTGGACAGAGTCGTGGCATTTCCGTGTCAGACAGTAATTCCGTCCGTCTCAGTCAGTGAGTCTCTGTCAGTCAGTCAGTCGGTCAGTCGGTCTGTCGGTATATGCAACGAAACTGTCGGTTTACCCTGTCATTGTGAAAGTTGTGTGTGTTGAGTTTCAATAATTATTATTGAAAAGTTTTATTGACTAAACTGAGTTCATTCGAATACGAGCGATGACGGAACCTACCGCTCAGCCATCCCTGACGCGTGCCGACATATATATATATATATACCGTGTATGTGTTTGTATATTGTATAATGTAGTCTGGTTGTTTCACATTAAGTAATGCACCTACCACAGGATTCTCTACACCACCCTTGGTTGACTAGTAGAGAATGCCTCAGGCATTAAGTCCGCCATTGTACTTATGTGCATTAAATTGAATAAATAAATAAATAATTCGTTAAGAAAATAAATTACTGCTCTCGACAATAAACCCTGAAGGTTTCTCTTAGCTTTTATATAAGAATGTAATATTAATTAAACAAGCCATATATTCCATCGAGTTAGCCACCTACACTAATCTATTTCTGATAATGTAATAAGTATTAACAGTGTGTGAACGCAAATTTACGCAAATATAATTGGATAAAAAGAAATAACTAATTTGATAATTGAAGATTTTCGGATCCTAAAGAATTTATCAAGCGACTATTAAAATTTCGATTGTATGAAAAAAAACTTTAGCCGATATGGTGGCGCACTAGTAACGCTCGCGATTGCTGAACCGTAGGTCGTGGGTTCGATTCCCACCGGGTAACTATACTCTAAGTCTGGCCTTTTAATATATACAGGGTGTCCCAGAAAGAATGAAGAAGAATTTAAAACCAGGTGGGCTGTCCTAATAAAAAATTAATAAATAAAAAGCATGGATAATTCTGAAACACCTCATACATTGGGACTACAATAATTTCCACGGTAGCGCGGTCTCCGTCAATGTTCCTTCGGAGTTGTCCGATTGCGCTGAACTTATTTTAAGTGAAATAGATGTTTTTTCAAATTGTCTCACTACTTACAGGAAAAATCTGTCGCGGATCATCTCCCAATTAAATTAATCTTAAGCAATGAATGAAATGTATCCAATTCTTAGCTGTATATTTTATTTTTATTTNTTAATCTTAAGCAATGAATGAAATGTATCCAATTCTTAGCTGTATATTTTATTTTTATTTTTGATGTTAATGCAATGTCGATTGCACCTATAATTGAGGTGACATCTGCCATGAACTTTTGTCAATTTGTCAATGTTTTGTATTGATGATCACTTTGTTGGTGCAACTTATTAAATAAATAAATAAATAAATAAATAAATAAATAAATACATAGTGGAGCTATTAGGGGCCACAAAAAAAAACTCAGGTAGTACCCAAATACGTATTTTAAAAAAAAGTTGATATTTTCCATACCGCTGTGCATTTCTGGAATATACAACAGCTACAAATAAATGAAATCCATAGGCTTTTTGGTGTTATAATATTCTACATGGACTGTAACTAAGGAATATGCAGGAAATCGTATGAGTGTAATTTTTTATAAAAGTTAATCTGAACTTAAATTTTAATCATGAAATTTGGTATTTTTTCTTTATTTTTAATTTGGGTACTACCTAAGAAATATTTTTTAATTATTTTTTTTGAGTCCCGTATAGCTATACTATGAAGTGTTTCAGGATTATGCATTATATTGTGGGACACCCTGTATATTATACATATAGTATACATAGAAATTTGATTTGTATATAAGTACGTATATCAGTCTCTGATTCCCATAATACAGACAATCCAAAATTGAGGACAGGATTAATGGAAATTAAATTAAAAACGCAACTACAAAACGGCTCGATCTTAACCTGTATACATACATACATACAGACAATATCCACATCACATTGGAGGATTATCGATCGAAAAATATATATAATTGTTTTCAACCTCTCTAATTACACAATCTATCGTGATACGTGATAAAATTTTAGGGTTTTATTTAAACATTCCTTTCAAACGATAAGATCGTAATTAATTAACGATAAAAAACATATAAATAGCATTAGGTTGTATAGTTCTTAAATATCCCCCGCCCCCCTGGCATAGTGTGAATTTCAAAGTATGTTTTCATTAGGTATCCTTTTTATTATTATCATTGTATTTCATCTTTGAGCCGATGAATTGCGAATGTTATGTACGCCATTATTGTCACATGCATCGGGCCATAAATTAAATAGTTTAAGTTATTTTCAATGTAAAATGTTTGTGATGTGGCAGTACTTTTTAAATAAATAAATAAAATAAATAAATAAGTGTGAGTGCGTTCCCGGTACAAAGGACCTCTGTATGATACGCCTAGATTTTATGTAGTAGTATTATGGTCCTATTTTATTTACAGAGGAGTACCATGAAAAAAGGTAGGAGCAAACGGCATAGAGTGATCCATAATAACCTTTTGTTGCGAGGAGGTGGTCGTGACTCTCAGCATTGAGGAAATCGAAGGAGGAGGAGACCATGAAAAAATCATGAATGTTATTGATTTCAATAGAAAAGCCCGTCATTAG